AATATCTATAATAATAAGCTTCCAATCTTGAGGAAGTGCAGAAAGCAAAGGAAGGCCTCTTTGAACAGGGCCAAAAAGATGCATCTGATTGTTAATGGCCCGCAGGTCGTGGAGTAATCTCCACTTCCCAGATTTCTTCTTAATAACAAAAATTGGTGTATTCCATGGGGAGGTAGAAGGCTCTAGATGCCCCAGCCGTTCCTGTTCTTGCACTAATCTTGTGACAGCCTCTAATTTTTCAGAGGATAGAGGCCATTGAGAGACCCATAACGGCTCCTCTGTTTTCCATGGTATGGGTCGTGAAGCCTCAACGGCCCCTAAATAAAACCCAGTCCTTTTCTACCCCGATTTCCGTGTTGTGTAATGGGTTTTATTCTGCCTTGTTCTTGCCTACCCAAGCCTCTACCATTTGTATACCCCATCTTTGCCATAATGGCTGATGCCTGGGGGGAGTATTCATTAGTTAGGGTCATGCCCATGGCTTGTAACACATCTCGTCCCCATAAATTTACAGGGAGTGGCAACACATAGGGGGTAAAACATCCCTGTTTGCCTTCAGCATCCCGCCAGGTTAAGGCTGAGGCACTGATGGCAGGAGAGGACTGGTATCCAAGACCTTGTAGAGAATGAGATGAAACAACAGTGGGCCAAGACTTCGCCACCAATGGAGTGAAATAATGCTTTTGTCTGCTCCCGAATCCATTATCCCTTCAAATTCTTTTCCATTAATTAACAATTTTATTGTAGGTCTCTCATTTAGGGGTATAGCCAGATAGGCTGAATCACTTCCAGAAGATCCCATAGCCCTTTTTTGTAAAGTGTAGGTTTCTCCATCCCCGAGGGAGGGCAGCAACACCAGTTGTGCAATTCTATCTCCCTGCTTTATAGAAAATACACCCCGAGGGCTAGAACAGAGAACTTGAATCTCCTCTTTATGATATGGGTCAACAATCCCAGGATATATAATGAGTCCCTGTAAAGTTAAGGAGCCACGGCCCAGAATAAGCCCAATGGTGGCAGGGGGCAAAGGTCCAGGGGAATGGACTGGGACCGGTTGAACATTCATTTGGGGCATGAGTAAGAAGTCGGAGGCGGCACGCAAGTCCATTCCGGAGGTTCCTCGGAAACCTCTACTTCCTCTTGATTGCTTTTCTGAAATTGGTTCCCATATTTCTGAGGGCCCTGGGACCATGGGCCCCGTGACCCGTTTTTTGATTGGGGTACCTTGGATTCTTCAATAGGGGGCATGAAGCCTCCCTTTACATCCCGGACTGACCTGCATTCGCTAGCCCTATGATAACCTTTACCACAACGATAGCAAAGCTTCGATTCTCTTGTTCTTTCAGGGGCTTGACAATCTTTCTTAAGGTGCCCCATTCTCCCACAATTAAAACAAGCTTTTCGATTAGATAAATCTCTATACCTGTGCGTTTGTAAAATGGCGGCAGCTAGTCCTGCATTGGTTAGGGTCCCCCCAGCTCCCTGCACACTCTGAGCCAATCTTGTAAACCTTTGCTTTTGCGAGGGCGACAGCCGCTCGGACATTCCTGGGTTGCTTGTTCATAGACAAGTTGCTCAATCAGGGGCATAGCTTGTTCTGAATCACCAAAGATGCGACTGGCGGCCTCTGTCATTCTGGCCACAAAGTCTGAAAATGGCTCTTGGGGTCCTTGGACAATCTTTGTAAGGTGTCCACTGGACTCTCCCCTTTTTGTGAGGGCCTTCCATGCTTTAATAGCGCGCCGACACCTGACCATAGACGCCCCAGATGTAGTTGGTTTGATTAAGGGCATGTTGACCCTGACCTGTCAGCATTTCAAATGTCCACTGCCTCTGATTCTCATCTTCAGCCGTGGCATTAACTCTAGCTTGTGCCTGGGCTGCATCATACCAGAGAGCCTTCCATTCCATGTATTGTCCCATGTTGGGAAGCACTGCTTTCACTGTCGTTTGCCAGTCAGTGGGAGTCATGGCAAAATTAGCAAGCCTTTCCACCTGTAGTGTGGTAAGTTAGCATTGACCCCATAATTACGAACGGATTCGGCCAATTCTTTAATTTGATTGTAATCTACGGGGTATGTACTCTTCCGCCTTCCACATTCTCGAATACTGGAAAAGCCATTTGTATTTTCTCCTCCGTTCCTCTAAAGGTAAAAAGGAGTCAGTACCAGTATTCAGTCAAGCTCATACTGGCGGAGGCGCTGAGGGGCGTGAGCCCGCCGGATTTATAGGCGGTGGCCTCACATTCATTTTTGTTTTCAGTGGCCGGTGTCTATCAGGGTGATATCTTTTTTCCTCATACCGTGCCACCTCCTCCTCTAGACCACCTTCTTCGCTAGAATCCAGAGTGTCAGAATCAGAATTATCTAGCTCCAAGGCTTCTAGCTCTACTGCAGGGTATAGACTAGATTCTGGCTTTTTCTTTTTCTTAGATTTGTTAAGGGGTGAATGATAACTCCCTTCTTTCTCTCCCCTTTCTTAACTTCCTGGGAGGGCCTTTTTTTCTTAGACATGTCTTTTCTTTTGCGAGCTCCCATTCTCTCACTCCGTTCAGTTTCTGACATGCTATCCTGAACTTCCTCTAAGGTTCCCTGACTTTCTATTATAGCAGGGTGACAGGCCTCATCCTCCAAGCAGTTTTTAACTAGCTTCCAAATGGCTTTGGTACCTAAGCAGAGATCTCCTTCTGCATGCTTCCTGTCTAGTTCTTTACCTAGCTTGTTCCATGAGGCCACAGTGAGGGACCCGGAACAAGCATACCATGGTGCCACTCTATCTACCTCCTTCACAAAATTTTGAAGTGTTCGTGGTGCAATTTTAAGATCTCTTGTTTTAGCACAGTCTGTAAGGCTGTAACCACTGACTGTGACGACCCCATCGCGCTGACAGCTTATCTAAAAACGCGCTCAACTCCGTTACCAGACTGACAGCACCAGACTGACAGCACCAGACTGACAGCACCAGACTGGACAGCGCCAGATGGACAGCGCCAGATGGACAGCGCCAGACGGACAGCGCCAGACGGACAGCGCCGCTCTGTCAGCACCAGCCACGATGAAGGAGAAGGACAAACAGGACTAGCACCAAAGCCTCCACTGACCCGTCCCACGGTGATGACAAACTAAGGCCAAAGTCGAGAAAAGGGTTGTTCAGGATAAAGCATACCTCTCTGAACCTACGTCCCTGCAGTTCTGAATCCGCCCCGTCTTCCGAGGGGTCTCTCGCGGCGCCGGCGATGTTGAAGAGTTCCCGGGTTTCGGCACCAGATGTCCCGCGCTACCGTCTCGCCAGCAAGAACGACGCAGAACACTCGGATCCTTCTGCAGTAAAGCTTTAATGCATCTTGAGAGATAGATGATCAGCTTCTAGAGGGAGACCCCAAGCTAAGAAACCCAGCCCCTTATATAAGCCTAGGAGCTCCGAGTGAGATGTGTAGAGCCGGGATTGGTGGTTTGCACATCACCCCAGATGACGTCACGGGAGAGGCACAGTTTAAACGGTTAACTCCAACTGACAGCGACAGTTAACTCCAACTGACAGCGACAGTTAACTCCAACTGACAGCGACAGTTAACTCCAACTGACAGCGACAGTTAACTCCAACTGACAGCGACAGTTAACTCCAACATCTAACTTAACATGCCTCCATCTTTTCAGAAAACAAAAAAGTAAGTAAACAAACAAGAATTGAATGAAGAAACAGAAAATTAAAAGAAGGAGAAGCACATATAAATTCACCCAAAGACAAATACATATGCATACACAAAAATTAATAAAAACAAAAAATTAGAAATCATAACATATAAGCAAGAAACTAATATATTAAATAATTCCCAGATTAAAAATTATGAGATAAATATCTCTAAAAATAAAAAATTGAGTTCATTTCAGTTAACCATCTATAGTTGGCTATGAGGTTGGTCCTTAAGTGTGGTTTGTATACCAGTGAAATGCTGTTGGCAAAAACTAAGTTTTCCTTCAGGAGAGGTTTTTCAATTGAAGGTGGCATCTTGGTTAGGGATGAGGGATCATGTTCACTTCACCTCTCAGCACTGGGATCCCATCGGTATAGCACCTGTGCAGGCCATGTGCTTGTTGTCACCATCTCTATGAGTTCATATGTGAGCCAGTCTTATTGTGTCTGGAGGACATTCTTTCATTACTGCCACAATCCCCAATGGCTTGTAGAGTCTTTCTACTTCCTCTTCTGTAATATTCTCTAAACCTTGAGGGGAGAAGTTTGATGGGGACATTCCATTTAGGACTGGGTGTTCAGATGAATCCTCAGTGAATGGAGGAGGAATGAGAGGACATAAGTTATCTATTGCAGGAGATGGTACCATGGGATTAGTAATGGAGGACAAGAAGGACAGTGAAGATGCCCTAGCTACTTTCCAAGGTTATACGTACACTGAGTTACCAGTTAGACAGTGTTTGTAAATTTTCACAATTGAGACAAAGGAAAGGAAATGGGTTAGAAATGGAGTGAGGTGAGTGCTGGGAGGGTCCACAGGAAGGAGGAAAGTTGGGTTTGTTGCAAGGTTTGGCAGACTCTGCAGAGATTCTACCAGTGCTGCTTCTATCAGTAATTCAGTCTAGATGCTGTGGAGTGAGTGACATGGATGAAGTGCCATCCTCAGATCAAATAACTTTTGAAAGCATTACTAACAGTAGTTCCTATGTGTATTTAGTGACTCTGGAAAGTAAGATACATGCATAAAAACATCATATCTGTATTGTCAACAACATCTCACTGTAATGGAAAGAACATTATTGTCATTTTGCAACCAAAAGCCCATGAGAGACAGAAAAAGCTGTTACAAGGATACCATAGCTCTCAAGGACAAACGCTGGTCTAAGTATCTGTCTCCAAGTCTTTTACTCAGTGCTGGTAGATGACACTAGAGGCAGCATTGCTACTGATAAAGAACAACACCCTGGTAGCTTTAACTGACCTACTAGACGTCATGATCAACACTGGACCTTAATTTAATTGTGAAGAACGATAAAGACATATGTACCATTTTTATTCATGTTTCTATGGCTGCAGCTGGATGGTGAGTTAAGATTTTAGGAACATAGAATTCTCAGTGGGCATTTCTGAGACATCTAGGATAAACTCTATTTAATTCAGATTTTCTCTAGTTACTGTGTAAAAAAGAAATCCTGGTAGTGATGACTCTAACAACAATTCTACTTTTTTCTCTATCATGCTTCATAGGGACGATCCAAGGAGAGCAGGTGGAGCAGCATCCTTCCACCCTGAGAGTCCAGGAGGGAGCCAGTGCTGTCATCAACTGCACTTACACAGACAGTGCCTCATCCTACTTCTCTTGGTGTAAGCAAGGACTTGGAGAGGATCCTAAGCTCATTATTAACATTCGATCAACTATGGAGAGAAAGCAGGACCGAAGACTGACAGTTTTACATCACAGACACCAAGCCTGGGGACTCTGCCATGGACTCTCTGTGCACACTGCTCCCTAGGCACTTCAGCCTGTCCTAAAACCTGTCACACGGCCTGGAGCCCCATCCACATTCTGTGTCACAGGCCTTCCTGTGCAACATTTGCCAGTTGTTAGTTTTCAAAGGCCAACTTTAGTATAGACATTAAAGACACAAAAAAGAAAGTTAACTTCAACTCACTCCAAACATTTAAGTGAATTTTCTCCATTTTTAAAAAATTTTCTAAAACTGGAAATACAATTTTGTCATTTTCTGTCCATGGTGCAGCACTGTATGTCAGGGAAGGTGAGGCTGTAGCACACTCACCCTCAGGTGGAACATCTCCATCACACACCCTCCTCCCAAGGTCACTGAGGAAGAGGAGCAGAAAGGATGGAAGAACCAGAGGCAGGGGATGAGAACAAGGAGACAGCATTTCCTGAACACAGCAGGACAGCTGTACACATGAACTACCAGTGGTCTACAGCATACAGAAGACTTGTAAATGATCAGGCCAGACACAATTCCAGCAAGCAGAGGGAAGGTAGGTATTCCCACCCTTAGCTAAGCAGTTATGGCTGTTGGTAGCTTTTGGGAGGATTCATATTCTTTATTGGTGCAGCCCTTGGTAGTAGAATACTCCTCCACTCGAAGGCCTCACATCCAAGAATATACAGGCTGTGAAGACCTTGATGTGTTTAATTTTAAAGTGACAGGGAACTAGATTAGTAGGGAAGAGTGAATGGATCTGGCAGGAGTTTAGGTGGCAGGTGTATATAATCAAAATTCACTGCATAACATTCCCTAAGACCAATAAAATGAAAAACATATAAAAATAATATATAATTTTATGTGTATTTATCACACTAAATATCATAGGATATGTACAATTCAGTAACACTGGTGATTTTAGATATCCATGTGAACATGAGACCTACCTCCTTTGGGTGAGGGTTCAAGTTTATTCACAATGTGCTGTGCAAACATCTGTGGATGCCATTTAAAGGGAAACCAGCTGGAGGGCGATGATCTCTTCAGACGTGCTTAATGTCTCATCAGGTGGATGGCTTCACTGTGCAGATGGGAGGTCCTTGTTTATGAGTGAGGAGTTTCAGGAAGGTCCTGAGGAGACTTGTCCCAGTGAGTGTGGTGAACTCAAGAAGCAAGTGTCATTGTCTTCTATGAACATGCTTCCTGACACCTGCCCAATTCTGCTGCTCCTCTTGATGCTCGGTGAGTTACATTTACGTGAGTGTTGATGACATCATTTTCTCACAGCTGTGAGAGTCTTTACATTCTTCCTCAGGTAGCAACATGATTCCTCCACATTTATTTATTCATTATTTATCTTCAGGAAAGGTCAATAGAGATTCAGTAACCCAGAGAGAAGGCCTGGTTACTGTCACAGAGGGTTCACCTGTGACACTGAACTGCACCTATCAGACTACTGATTCAGCTCCTACAATTTTTGGTATGTGCAATATCTCAACAAAGCCCCTCAGTTACTTCTGAAGAGCTCCACAGACAACAAGAGGACAGAGCAGCAAGGGCTCCACTCCACTCTCCATAAGAGCAGCAGCTCCTTCCACCTGCAGAAGTCCTCAGTGCAGCTGTCAGACTCTGCCCTGTACCACTGTGCTCTGAGTGACACAGTGAGGGAAATGCATGGAAAGCTGCACACTAACCAAGGTGCAGGAGGCTGAGAGGAGGGGCCCTGTGAGGGAGAACTGTGTGCCTCTCTCAGTGGGTTTCATGTATCATTCTGAAAAACAGCAACAAAACTCAGGTCAAATTCTTAGAAATCAAGGAATTTGTTGATTTTTTGAAAGGATAGGATGGAAGTCATTGCCAGCAACAAAACAGCCTGCTTCCACAGTGACACACTTCTTCCAACATGACCACATCTACTCCAACAAAGCCACACCTCCTAGTTATTGCCACTTGCTATGAGACTATATTGGTCAGCTTCACTCAAACGGACACAATGGCTAATATCTACTTATAAATGTGTACATATGTTGTTTGTGTTTCTTGTTCTGGGTTACCTCACTCAAGATTATCTTTTCTAGTTCCATCTACACCTTCAGCAGCCATCAAATTATGATAGATATAGTGGAGCCTACAGTTCTTAGAGCAGGGTATACTGTGCATGACTCCACCTAAGTCAGAAATTTGACTGGCATTGTCTCAAGTAATTTCCATGTATGTAACCACATATGTTATGAATTTATAGGTTGCTTCTCTCCAGAATGTAGAATTCCACAGCAGACCTTCTCATCCTCTGGCAATTATATTCTTTTTACCTCCTCTTGTTTAATTTTCCTGAGTCTTGACATGGAGCAGGAGGTGTTGATAAAGATGTCCTATTTAAGGTTAGACACAAACAGTTTCTATCTCAGTTCATTGACTAGAAACGAATTTCTGCATTGAATACTGTCTGCTACAAAAACAGGCTTCTTTCACCAAGGCTGA